TAGAGAAATGCAAATCAAAACTACAATGGAGTATCACCTCACACCGGTCAGAATGACCATCATCAAAAATTCTACAAACAATAAATGCTGGAGAGGTTGTGGAGAAAAGGGAACCCTCTTGCACTATTGGTGGTAATGGATTGGGATAGAGGTTCCTTAAAAAACTAAAAATAGAGTTACCATATGATCCAGCAATCCCACTCCTGTGCATATATTTGGGGAAACCTCTAATTCAAAAAGATACATGCACCCCAATGTTCATAGCAGCACTATTTACAGTAGCGAGGATATGGAATCAACCTAAATGTCCATCAACAGAGGAATGGGTAAAGAAGATGTGGTACATATATATACATATACGATGGAATATTACTCAGCCATAAAAAGGAACGAAATTGGGTTATTTGTAGAGATGTGCATGGAACTAGAGACTGTCATACAGAGTGAAGTAAGTCAGAAAGAGAAAAACAAATATTGTATATTAATGCATATATGCGGAATCTAGAAAAATGGTACAGATGATCTTATTTGTAAAGCAGAAATAGAGACACAGATGTAGAGAACAAACATATGGATACCAAGGGGAACAGGGGGTGGGATGAATTGGGAGATTGGGATTGACATATATACACTTTTGATACTATGTATAAAATAGGTAACTAATGAGAACCTACTGTATAGCACAGGGAACTCTACTCAATGCACAGTAGTGACCTAAATGGGAAGGAAATCCAGAAAACAGGGGATATATGTATATGTATAGCTTATTCACTTTGCTATATAGTAGAAACTAACACAACATTGTAAAGCAAGTATACTCCAATAAATTTTTTTAAAAAAGAAACGATAATAGGGCTTCCCTTGTGGTGCAGTGGTTGAGAGTCCGCCTGCCGATGCAGGGGACACGGGTTCGTGCCCCGGTCCAGGAAGATCCCACATGCCGAAGAGTGGCTAGGCCCGTGAGCCATGGCCGCTGAGCCTGCATGTCCGGAGCCTGTGCTCCACAACAGGAGAGGCCACTACAGTGAGAGGCCTGTGTACAGCAAAAAAAAAAAAAAAAAAAAAAAGACGTAATGTAATATTTCATTCAGATGTCTATTCTGTGAAACAGGACATGAGTTCTGGGGTGTCAGAGATGAAACAGATCTGCATGATGGGGCCCCAAGGAGCTCACAATCTAGCATGTAGGAAAGAGAGTAAACAGTAAACCAGTAAACAGAGAGCTCTTACCCAGTTTATTAAGTGCTCTGACAGAGCCATGCAAAAGAGCAAGGAGGAAGGAAAGACTAACTAAGCTTGGGGTGATTTCAGATGGCTTCTTGGAAAAAGCAGAATTTGTACCAATCTTTATAGGAAGGCAGGCCTTTTATTGGTAGGCATGGGGTGTGGGAGAGGGGAACAAAAACATTCCAGGTAGAGGAAGAGTTTGAGCAAAGGTACGGCATTGGCAGGAGGCAGAACATGAGTCATCCACTGTGACTGAGGCCTGTGAGGCTGTCAGAGACTGACTGTGGAGGGCCTTGAATGATAGGCTAAGGAGCTTGGATTTAAACCTGCAGGCCAAGGGAACCCTTGGTGGCTGTAGATATGGTCATCTTGGCATTTGAAACATGACTCTGAGGGCCTCTGTGCAAGTAGAACAGATGGGAAGCAGGTGCATTAGATCAGAGACCCATCTGACACTGTCCCATGTGCCCCTATGCTCAGCAGAGGCTCCTCAGAGCCTGCAGTCCTACAAGAACTACTCCTTCTTCCCTTCTCTTCTTCCAATGTTCTACTCCTCCCACAGGACACACCCAGCTCAAATACACCCTATCTGGAAGCTTTCACTGCCTTCCAGTAGGCGATTTCCTCTGTGAGGCCCGTCAGTATCCTGCTCTGGGATTCTTCAGTGACATGTTGTATTCTTATGCATCCCAGCCAGATGGAGAAATCTTCAAGGACAGGTTGTGAATCTCATCCAGTTTTGCATCTCCAGTGCATAGTATGGGTTTTGGCACATGGAAAACCACTGGGGAACTCTTCACCAGTGAATTAGAGGAAGAGAAAGTGCATGAAGAGAAAGAAGAAATGGGAGAAGGGGAGGAGAATACTTGGAGAGAGGGAGGGAAGGGGGAAGAGAGATAGGGTGTTGGTATGGTCAAGGGAAATAAGAGGAAGAGTGTGGAGGAGAGCACAGGGCCAATGTGGGTTCTTTCTTCTTCCCATCAGTAGCACCAAGTATTAGACCTGCCACAGTGAGTGTCAGGCTTTGGAATCAACCAGATGTGGGTTCATATTCTGGTTCCATCACTTAGTGACCATGTGCCTTTAGACAAGACACGTCACCTCTTGGGCATTAATTTCATCAACTGTGGAATGGTGATAATACTAGTTCTTCCTACATGGGCGTTTTAGAACTTAAGAATAGAGTCTGTCATACAGAGTGAAGTAAGTCAGAAAAACAAATACCATATGCTAACACATATATATGGAACCTAAAAAACAAACAAACAAAAGGTTCTGAAGAACCTAGGGGCAGGACAGGAATAAAGATGCAGACATAGAGAATGGACTTGAGGACGTGGGGAGGGGCAAGGGGAAGCTGGGACGAAGTGAGAGAGTGGCATGGACATATATACACTACCAAATGTAAAATAGATAGCTAGTGGGAAGCAGCCGCATAGCACAGGGAGATCAGCTCTGTGCTTTGTGACCACCTAGAGGGGTGGGATAGGGAGGGTGGGAAGGAGATGAAAGAGGGAGGGGATATATGTATACTTATAGCTGATTCACTTTGTTATACAGCAGAAACTAACACAAAAGTGTAAAGCAATTATACTCCAATAAAGTTAAAAAAAATAGATGTGAGTTCTTTGAGGGCAGGGATCCAACATCCAACAAGGGCCGTGGCACAACTGTGTGCTCAACAAATAATTACTGACTGAGGGAGTAAGTGATTGCCCTAGAAGAACTGTTTTCCACACTGGGGAGCAGTGCTCCATTCCACAAGAGACAGAGGCTAAGCACTTGTGTACCAGTGTACCAATAAAGGAGAAACACAGTCCCAGTAAAAATTTTCAGCTAAGTTGATATACATTAAAAGCATCAATATAGTGATCAGGGGATAAATAAAAACTTTTGGTAGACTTTCTTATATTTACTGATTTTATTCTGAATTACATATGATGCAGGGGATACCCTAACTTTTAGCGTTTAGAGACTCTAAATGTCTTAATTTGGTCCTACTTAAGCAATAGAAATTAACATGATCTAGTCCCCTACCGCAGAGCAGCTCCTGGGGAGAGAGACCCAGACACACAACACACTACAACAACACACTATGTAACTGAGGTTGGCATAGAGGGGTCTGTAGGAAGCATTGGTGTGGGAGCCCAGAGAAACACAGTCCTCCTAGGGGCAACAGAGGAATCAAATAGGAATGGGGATACAGTGTGGGGGATAGAGAAATCAAATGGAGAATAGAAAAGAATGATTGCTGAATAAGAGGTAGTAAGCAGAAAAGAGGTCACATTGGGGAGAAAGGAAATCTGGAAGTAGGGAGTGAGGGAGGAGACTGACAGGCAGGGAAGGAGACCCCTCTGGAGGCGGAAAGAGGCAGGATCACTTCCGGCTGGGGAGGGGGAGCAAATAGGCTCAGACCTAAGGAGAGGCTTGGAGAGAGCGGATGCCTTCTGGACGGGAGAGGTGAGCTAAAGTGCCCTGCTTTACTGAAGACCTTGTGGGGGACTCCAGGCTAGGGTTTGACGTGCTTGACTCCACACATCCCTAGGGTTTGAAGGAAACCTGCTAGAGGTTCAGGAGCTAACCGCATAGAAGTGGTCGGATAGAGGTATCTGGACTCGGTTTGCAAGGGAGAAAGGAGAGGGCATAATCCCCTTTGGGCAACGGAAAGAGAGATCTGGACTCAGTTCGGGCTGCAGGAAGGAGGGATGCTGACCCGGTTGGGACTGCAGAAAAGAGAGATGGAGAAATAGTTCCGGCCATAGAAAGAATGGAACACGATCCAATTAGGTAGGGAGATAGGCAATGGGAGGCTTCGTTTAAACTGGAGAGAGGTCACAGGACCTGGTTTGGGCCACAGAAAGTAGAGACTGGGAGCTAGAAAAAGTAAGAGGCAGAATCCTTATTATACATCTGAAATGACCTGGCTCAGAGGGGAGAAAAGAGGGGCTAGGACCCGGTTGATACCGGTTTGAAAAGAAAGGGACAGAACCTGGTAGCGTTTGGGAAGGATTACACAAAAGCCGAATACCATAGGATTTGTGGGTGGGGTAACCATGTTGCAGTAAGGGCGGGATGGTCACTTGCAGACGTGGAAGTAGGGGTGCGGTGTTGCGGAAGGGGCAGTGCAGGCACTTACTGCAGAGCATAGGGAGGGGGCATATAAAGAGAAGAGGAGGTGCGGAGGAGTACAGCAGAGCGGAGGGAGGGGGCATTACAGAAAGGGGCAGTGCGCTGCGTGGCTATACTGCAGAGGAGAGGTGTATGGTGTTGGGGAAGGGGCGGAACGAAGAGGTGCTGCAGAGCGGAGGGAGAGGGACCGGTGTTGGGGGAAGGGTTGGAATGAGACGAGGTGCAGTTAGAAAGAGTGGGTCAGGAGTGGCGTCAAGATGTTCTGCTGCTCTGAGGGCAGAGGGCTTATGTGGGATTGAGGTGGTCAGGCTGTCCAGTCCACCAAAGCACATGCGCGCTGAGCGCCTGCGGTTGCCCTCACGCCTCTGGTTGATGTGCATGCGCACTACCGAGTTGCGGTAAGGGTGTTTGTAGGGTAAAGGGGCGGGATCGAGAGCAGGCTTGCGGTTTCTTGGAGGCAAAAGGAGCTAGGATTTGGAAGCCAGATGGTCTGGGTTTCTAGGTATGAGAACCCAGTAGTTGAAGGGTTTGGGGCCCAAGGTTTGATCAGAACCCCCTCCTTCAGGATTGGCAGGAGACCTGATGAATGTCCACCTCCCTCTTATTCTTTCCTGACTCAGGCCCCTTCTCGGCTTTCCAGAAAAATGGATAGGAGAAATGACTCCGATTATAAGATGACCCCGTTCCAGGTGAGGCCCCTCTGCATTCTTGGCAGGCCATCTGCCCTATTCTGAGTTCATTTAAGGCTGTTGAGCCCCTACCACTCTGTAGTTGCATAATTTCCTGCCTAACCTGTTTCAGTCCTCCCCTGAATGGTGGAGGAGGAGGTGAAGAAAACCTGCCTATTTCTTGCTCCCTTCCTCTTCCTTCACCCTCCCCTTCAATCAGTCACCATTCAGAGGAGGGGGAGGTTTTGTAGAAAGGGTGGATTGTAGGGAGGCCAGATGGCTCAGCACGTTATAATCTTAAGTGTGTAGGGCCCTCTGGGAGCCTGAGCTTCACTTCCCTCCAGATGTACAGCCTGAGACAACAGAAGAAGATAGTGTCTTGCTGATGCATACCCTCTTGTCATCAACCAAGGACCTACTAGCTATGGACCCACCAGTTGCCAACCGGCCTAAGAAAAGCAAGACCAAGAAGGCCCCTATTAAGGCTATCACTAAGACAGTACGCACTGCCCCTCCAGTTCCATCTGCCAATGTGATTACCACCAACAAGCCTAAAATAACTTTTCTGGCTTTAAACCTGCCAATCATCCCCCAGATCAACCAGGCTTCAGCTACCACTGAGGTAGCCAATACTCAGGCTTCTTCATTCACTGCTCAGCCTAAGAAAGCCAACAAGACAAAGAGAGTTACTGCTAAGGCAGCCCGAGGCTCCCAATTTCCAACTGGCAGTGAGAGTGTTACTACACAGATCAAGTTACCCTTGTAGGCCCTAAATGTGCCAGTCATCCCACAGACTATCCAGACTCCGATTGCCACTGAGTCAGCCAATTCTCAAGCCTTGTTAGCCTCCATCAAGCCTAAGAAAGCTCCCAAGGCTAAGAAGGCTAACAATAAGGCCATAACTAGTGCCACTGAGATCTCACTGACTCCATCCACCACCTACTCAGCTACCATCCAAGGCCAAATTACCTCCATCCGAACTAAGAAAACCTCCAAAGCCAAGAAAGCAACTGTTAAGGACACAAATACTGACACTGAACTCCTAGAGACCCCAGATGCCACTGAGACAGCTACCAGGCAGATTGAGGCCTCAGCAGCAGCTATCTGGCCCAAAAAATCCAAAGTCAAGAAGGCTGCCTATAAGGGCCCAAATTCTGCCTGTGAGATCTCTGAGGCCCCACCTGCCAGTCAAATGGTCACAAAACAAGCCCTAGCAGCCACCCTCCGGGTCAAGAGAAGGTACAGGGCTCAGAAGGTTGCCACTAAAGCCCGGACAACTGAAAGCCAGACTCAAATTGACAAAGGGGCCCAGGCCAAGATGACTACCCCTCAGATCAATATAAGTGCCCTTGAGACTCAGGTTGTTGCTGCTGTCCAGGCCCTGGCAGATGACTACCTGGCTCAGTTGAGTCTGGAGCCAACAACCAGGACCCGGGGCAAGAGGAACCGAAAGGTGAGAGCTCTGACATCACCATCCTTAACTCTGTACTCCTTTTCCATTCCTATCTGCCTGGTTTGTTCACTTGTTCTTTTAAGTTTACTGAGCCAGTCCCTGCATTCACATAGGCTGTGAGAGATGCTGAGAGGAATGTGATATAGTTCCTGCTGCTTTGCAGTTCAAAAATTGGTGGGGAAATAAGGCATCCATACACTTAGCTACAAACTGGATATAATTCAACTTGTATTTATCAATACATAGTAGTTAGCATGGACCAGGCTTTGTGTTGGGTATAGTCACACAGGTTATGCTTTTATGTTTTAAAGTAACTCTTACCAGCTAGGTCCCAGTGTTACAGATAAGAAAACCAAGTCCCAGAGAGGTGAAGTGACTTGTTGAAGGGGTACAGCTAGTAGAGCCAGTGGTGGCCAAAAGAAGAGGAAGAACCAGACCCTGCCCTTGGGTTGCTCCTGTCTTGGCAGGGAAATGAAACTCCTGACCGGAAGACAGTGAAAGACAAATCTAGAACTCAGTGTGGCTAATGGTAAGGTCAGGACCCCTACAGGGAGGGTTTAGGGGACTTTCAGGAATAGGCAGGGTGAGGAGACAGAGCCATCTCTTTCACCTGGTGATTTTGGACCTTTCTGCTTTCTGATGATGCAGTCCAAGCATCTGAACGGGGATGAGAGAGGTGGTGGTAATTATAGGTGGATTCCATGGGGCCGGAGGCCTCCGCTATCCTGAGATGTGGCCATTTTGCAAGAAAGGGTAAGAATCCAATGCTGCCCAGTCTCTTCTCTTCTTCACCTGCCCTCTTCTCTGTCATTCTTCCAAGTTTTATGAAAACATATTGAGATCTCCCCATGTATTCCTCTTCTCCCAGGCAAATAAGTTTATGAAATACCTGTTGGTTAAGGACCAGACAAAGATCCCCATCAAGCGCTCAGGTAGAGTCATCCCAACCCTCCTCCCTGAGCTCTCCTTTCTACTCCCCTCTCCTCCCTGCCCTGGGGGTAACCATTTAGTTTTATGGCCTCTTCATTCTCTCATCTATCCTCCCCTGCCCTTTTCACACTCTGTCATGGCTGGCATCTCCCATTAACACAGTTCAGGACTCAGACTACACTAACCCCATAGGGCTGGCAAAAGGGCTGCAGCTCTGTGGCCCCTTCTCAGCCCAGCTGCTCCCACCTCTCCCTTCCTGCAGACATGCTGAAGGATGTCATCTAAGAATATGATGAATATTTCCCAGAGATCATTGAACGAGCAAGCTATGCTCTGGAGAAGGTGAAGGGACATCCTCTGTGGGACGGGCACAATGGGGAAGTCTTGAATGGAACAAAGGTGTACACGTCCCTTTGCGGGGGACCACAGAGACTCCCTAATCCAGCCCCATCACTGTGCAAATGAGCAGATGATGGCCTAGGGAGGGACGTAGACTAGCCTCGGGTCACACAGCAAGTACAGCTAGGACCCAAGCCACCCAGCTTAGTCCTGGCTTCTGTCTACTGCTGCACATGTCCTGTAGTGTATTTCAGTTGCTCACCTCTCCCTTCCATCCCCCATTATCTGTCTCCCTAGAGTCCCATTAAGCATAAAGACTATTTTGATAACAATAGTACATTTGTTACCTGTTTGCTGTGTTAGTTAAGTGCTTTACATGAATTATTTCACTGCCTAGGCTGAATTTTGTGACCTCACAGGCTATTCTTTTACTTGGCAGATGTTTCGAGTCAATCTGAAGGAAATTGATAAACAAAGTAGCTTGTATATTCTCATCAGCATTCAGGAATCCTCTGCAGGCATCCTGGGAACGTAAGCTGGGAAAGGGCTAGGATGGGAGGGAGGCTTCTGCTTTTGTCCATGGTACTACTCCATCCCTGTCCTCTCCCCACATCCCCTAGGAAGTCAGGAAAGACAGAGCCTAAAAACCCCTTTTCCATATCCCACACGTAGTTGGAGCCCTACACATGATAGTGGTGCCTGTTTATGATTGAATGGAGGTTGTAGAAGCCTGGGACAGGTCATTCCTACTGTCAAGTTTTCTGTATCTCCAGAAGCTTCCCTGTTGTTGCTTGTCTCTTCCTATTGACCTTGGTAGAGTGGTTCCCAAGGGAGGGCTTCCTGGTATGGGTGAATCATGAGGGTTGAAGGGCAGGAGCATCAGTGGGGCCATGCCTAGAATTCTTTTGGAGCTGAGGGGTCTGGAAGAGAAAGAAGGGACTCATATTGGCTGGGTGTCTGGGTTGTAGTGGGTTGACAAATACAAGTACAATTCTATCCTCTCAGCAACCTGGGGAGAGGAAAATGTGATTTTCCCATTTTATGAATAAGGGAGTCTAAGTGCCTTGCCCAGGGTCACATAGAGCTTGAAGCATAGACTGGGCAGAATTCTCTCATATCTGAAGAATCTGGGAGAAGCTAACCTAGTAGGCTGGCTGGTGTGTATTTTTTTGCAGATGGCTGCTGGATGTAAACCTTCTCTCTGTCCCATTATTTCCCTAGGACCAAGGACACACCCAAAATAGATCTTCTCATGGTGATTTCTGAGTGTCATTTTTATGAATGGCAACAAGGCCAATGAGGGTGAGTTGCTGGGCTGGCAGCCGAATGGGGGGTCATGGTCGGAATTCCACATGTTCATTTTCTATCCCTGTTTCCTTTTGCCTCCCCTTGCAGCTGTCATCTGGGAGTTGCTGCCCAAGTTGGGGCTGCACCCTGGGTATGATTGGGCTCTGTCAGCAGTTGCTTTCCATGTTGTCCTTTGGCAAGAGAGGATGGTCCCAGGATTGCATCAGCCTGGTGGTCTGGTGGAGGGGGCGGGGTTGCTGGACTGGGTAGAGGGTCCAGGGTTCTGACCTGGGTGGATGGGGAAATGGTCCTGAACTCTCTGCTTCCCCTTTCTCCTATGTTCTTTTTCTGTTCTAAGCTGATATATAAGATAGACCTTCAGGGCATCCCTGATAAAGAACCATCTGGCCTCAACTGCCTGCTTCTAGTGACCATGTGTTCATTACTTTCCTGAGTTCATTGAGATGGCCTTATGTACTAGAGAGGTCTCTTCCATGTTGGGAAATGCCTCTGCCTTCATGTGGGAAGTTCTGATCTTGGTTCATGGGTTATTTTTCCCATTGTTAGGGTAAGGCACTCGCTCTTTGGGGAAGTGAGGAAGCTCATCACAGATGAGTTTGTGAAGCAGAAGTAAGTGGTGTTTGGGGGCTTTGTCAGGCCATGAAGTGTTCTGAGTGTGCCGATCTGGTCCAGAAAGTGCTCGATTGCCCTTTTCTTACACTACCTTTAGAGGTATGGGCATCCTGTTCCCTAGAACTGAGTCCATGGTGGACCATACCAGGGCTGGGCCAGACCAAACACAAGGCCCTTGCTGTGGGGTGTGCTCAGAGCAGAATGCCCAAAGAATGGCTCCTCTGTTTACAACACACCCAATAGAAACTTGGGTTTACTCCTCACAGGTGGCAGGATACTTTGGCCTCCCTGTGACACCATGCCCTATACATGCGTCCCCTGCCACACCAAGTGACTACTTTGCACAGGGCCAATGGGAAATGGCTCAGTATTGGAGGTCAAGACCATGAACTGTGTTTTGGAGTGAGTCTAGGGAAGGAGGGCCTTGGAAATCCTTCTCTAGGAGCTGAGTTTAGTTTTTCTTTGGAGGAGGTTGCCACCTGGTCCCAAGTGGTTAGACAACAGGTTTGCTTGGTTAGAAGCAAGTTTCATTTCCTTTCTTCAAGGTACCTGGAATACAAGAGGGTCCCCAACAGCAGACCACCTGAATATGAGTTCTTCTGGGGCTTGTGCTCCTACCATGAGACTAGCAAGATGAAAGTTCTCAAGTTTGCATGCAAGGTAATAGGAGAGCTGCCCTGACTTGGCATATTAAGGGTACAGGATGTCTCTGGCTGGGGTAGGCAGTGTACAGGGATGGGCAGGTATAGGGCAGTCTGCAGTTCATATATAAGCACATGGAACTTCATTTATGTCCCAGAATGCTGCTTGACATAAAGTTTACATTGTTTCATTCATGTTCATACTTTGTATTAGTCTCCTCAACTGCCATAACAAAATACTATAGACTGGGTGGCTTAAACAACAGAAAATTATTTTATCATAGTCCTGAAGGCTGGAAGTCCTAGATCAAGGTCCAGCAGTGTTAGTTTCTAGTGAAGCCTCTCCTCCTGGCTTGCAGATGAATACCTTTTTGCTGTGTTCATGGTGGTGAGAGAGAGTCTCTTCTTATAAGGACACTAATCCTATTGGATCAAGGACCCACCATTATGACCTCATTAAACTTTACTTCCATAAAGGCCTACCTCCAAATATAGTCACATTCGAGGTTGGTACTTCAAAATATGAATTTTGGGGGGACACAAACATTCAATCCACAACATACTCTCTTATCGTTTCCCATATTACAGATGAAGACACTTAGGCTCAGTGAGATTAAGTAGCTTGTCCAAGGTCACACAGCACCTAAGTTATCGAACTGAAATTGGATCTCAGGACTGACCCATGATAGAGTCCCAACAACTAAGACTTTTTTTTTAAATGCTACTATTAGTTTTATACAAAGCCCATGGTAGGTATTTAATACATAATTACAAATGTTATTTTTCTTATAATGATTGTAATTCTCATTTTAGGTGCAGAAGAAAGACCCCAAGGACTGGGCCGTGCAGTACCGGGAGGCAGTGGAGATGGAAGTCCAAGCTGCAGCTGTGGCTGTAGCTGAGGCTGAGGCCAGGGCTGAGGCAAGAGCCCAAATGGGGATTGGAGAGGAAGCTGTGGCTGGGCCCTGGAATTGGGATGACGGATATCAACTGCCTAACAAGAGAAGAGTTAGGTAATGATGCTCAGGCCTGGGGCAGATTTTCACTTGAAATTGAGGCCAGAGCCCAAGAAAATGCAAATGCCAGCACCAACATTGACTTCAGCAGAGGATCTAGCACCAGGGCTAGCTATAGCGATGGTGCTAGTACTAGCTTCAGTGGTGTCCCCAGCCCCAGTAATGTCTTTGGTGACAGGGCTGGCATTAGCTTTGGTGGCACATGCAGCACCAGTGCCAGCTTCAGCAGTGTAGCCAGCATTAGCTTTGGTGGCACCTTGCACCAGTACCAACTTCAGTGGTGGGGTCAGCTCTAGTTTCAGTGGCCCACTCAACACCAGTACAAGTTTCAGTGGTGGAGCCAGCTCTGGTTTTGGAGGCATACTCAGTACCCCTGCTGGCTTCAGTGATGCACTCAGTATGAGCACCAGCTTTGGCAGTACACTCGGCACCAGTGCAGTCTTTAGTGGTGCACTTAGCACCAGCACTGGCTTTGGTGGCACACTCAGCACTAGTGTCTACTTTGGTGGCTCTCCCAGTTCCAGTGCCAGATTTGGTGGCAAACTCAGTACCAGTATCTGCTTTGGTGGCTTTCCTAGCACCAGCACTGGTTTTGATGGTGTACTCAGTACCAGTGCTGGTTTAGCTGGTGTACCAGCTCTTTCAGCAATAGCACTGACTTTGGTGGTACACCAAGCACCAGCTTCTGCTTTGGTGATTCTCCCAGCACTAGTGCCAGCTTTGGTGGTACACTCAGCACCAGTCTTGGCTTAGGTGGTGCACTCAACACCAGTGCTGGTTTTAGCAGTGCTGTCAGCATTAGCATTGCCTTCAACAGTGCACCCAGTGCCAACTCTGGCTTTGGCAGTGTGTTCAGCACCAGTACTGACTTCAGTGGGGCACCTAACACCACTACTGACTTTGGCAGTGCTCCCAGTACCAGCATTAGCTTTGGTGGAGCCCCCAGCACCAGATTCTGCTTTGGCAGTGTGTCTAACACCAACCTATGTTTTGGTGGCCCTCCTAGTACAAGCACCTGCTTTAGTGGTCCTACCAGTGCCAGTTTTGGTGATGGACTCAGCACCAGTGCTGGTTTCAGCTTTTGTGATGGGTTAAGCACCAGCACTGGATTTGGTGGTGGACTGAGCACCAACTCTGGCTTTGGTGGTGGACTGATCTCCAGTGATATCTTTGGTGGTGGGCTGGGCACCAATGCTGGTTTTGGCAGCACACTTGGCACCAGTGCTGACTTTAGTAGTGGCCTCAGCATCAGTGATGGCTTTGGCGGTGGGCCTAATACCAGCTTCGATGGAAGACTGAGCACCATCATTGGCTTTGGCAGTGGTTCCAACACCAGCACTGGCTTTATTGGTAGACCCACTTCCATTGTTGGCTTTGGCAGTGGACTGAGCACCGATGCTGACTTCAACGGTGGACCAAGCAGTAGTGCTGGCTATGGCAGTGGACCGAGCAATGCTGCTGGCTTTAGTGGTGGAGCCACCAGCCTTGGTGCCTGTAGCTTCTCCTATGGCTAGTGAGGTTTCAGGTAATTACAACATTTCCACAGCCAAGGCCGATGGGGATGGGTATAAGAGCTGGGAGATGTTATAAGAAACCCCAAGGTGGGAGGGCAGGGTGGAGAGATGAGCACAATGAAGGAAGTATGAGAAAATAGTATATTTGGTGCTAAAATGTGTTTCTGTTTGGTGTTTTGTTTTCAGATTTATATCGCATGTTTACAGATACTGCTAATGAATTGCAGCAGTCCTTCCCATGGAGCCAAGGTACATCCTTGGAATCTTTGTCCACGTAGCAATCTAAGCAGATATTACCAATCAGCTGAGGGTGACATACTATGAAAAAATCTGTTTGCCAATCCTGCTTTGTTGTTTGCTTTCTGTGTCTTGTCATATTTGATATGAGTTACATTAAATTTGAAAAATGAATTGCGGTTTGTTCTGTCTTTTAATGTGCCTAAGTTGTTGTGAGTGACATTTTGGGTTCATATAAGAGCTAGAGATAAGCATAGCTCTTTGGGGAAGGTGGGCTCCAGTTTTAGGCTAAAAGGCAAGTATGACTTCAGTGGGGTAGAGATGTGGGGAAAGCATAGCAGGCAAGGGGATAATACCTTAAGTCAAGATCTAGAAGGAGAAAGCCTGGAACAGAAGGCAAAGGGAGAGGGTTCTGGAGAGTAAGTATAGATTCATTTTGAGATATTTGTGTAAGAATGGGAGGGATATAGAGGGACGTAACTAAAGGTGGACATGGGAACAAGGGAGGACTTTTTTGGGATAGGAGAGAGACCTGAGCATGTTGCATAGACAGTGGGGGCAAAAGCCAATAGAGAAGGACAGGATATAGATATGGAATAGTCAGGAACTGACTGAATCAACCCATCCTTGGGGAGGTGGGATGGATAGAATACCAGAGAATAGAGGGTGACCCTGACTTTGAACAGGATTTAAGGGTGGCTCTAGAAGGAGATAAATGTAGATTTGCTTCAAGCAGTGATCCCAATAAAAAAAGTGATGTGGATCATACAAGGTTTGTGTCTTGCTGGTGGTTGTGATGGAAGGACAAACAAAGTCAGGGGGTGTATGCATCTGTCTCTTCGCAACTGGGTTGCTGCTATCTGCCCACAGTAGCTGCATGGAGATTGGCTGAAGAAATAGAATGTAGGATGCAAGCTGGCCAGGTATGGAAGAACAGTGAAGAGGAAGAGGACTGGTGGATTGGGAGATAATGGAGGAATCAAAGGACTATACTCTTGATGCAGTACAAGAACAAGTATTGTTCATTCAAGAAATACTACATACATGCCTGCTGTGTAGGAGGCATGCTGCTAGGGATCCTGTGGATGACACAGAGAGTTTTAAGGACCAGGGGGCCAGTGGTCAGATAGTGGGATGCTTGTATTTAAGAAGTCAGACTGTAGAGAAGTCTAGATGATGCCAACCAAGCAGTGAGTGGCTGAAGGGAAGATGCTCACTGAAGTTGAGGGGGCAGGACACTAGGAGACCAGGGTATTGTCTGAATCATTTATATGGACAGTGAAATAACTCAGGATGGCAACAAGAGTTGGAGAAGGAAGGAGAACTGTGGTCTGAGTGCAGATTCTTCTTTGAATGTAGGGATGAAGGTGTCATGTTCCCAGCCATGTTGCCCACGAAGAAACAAGGCCATAAGCACTCACATGAACCTATCTCCACCCTCACATTTGGAGGTACTATTCCAAAGTCCTTCTTTCCAGGTAGTTCTCACCCAGTCCATACCCCAACAGCACCAGAGCCATTTCATAGGGTCAGGATCTTAAGAGGATCTTGTGGGAAAAGCCTCACAATGACCTCCTTTCCCCTTTTGTAGGCAGTAAGAGAAGTCTTTATTGATCAGGAAATAGGAATTAAGAAGGAAAAAGTTTCATCCTGACCTAGACAGCTCCTTAGTTGTAGCTAGAAATCAAGACCTGTTTTGGAGCTGATGAGGGTTTCTTCACTGGAAGCAGGTCTCTTTCAGTGAGGCCAACTCCAGAGTGTTCTCAGTGTAAGAGAAGAGCAACAATAGCAGCTCCTAAACGTGAAAGATAGCGAGGACAGAGGCAGTTTTATGTCTTAGAAAGGGCTCAGTAGTGGGCAGGGACAGTGTCCAGGGCTTCCTCAGGTTCCCGGCTGACGTCCACATTCTGAGAGGAGAGAACCCAGTATTAGCAGGAAGCAGCCAGCAGTGTGGAGCCCCCACCCCTCCCTGCCTCTTGTCCTCACTGCCAGGCTCCCCTATTTCAGCCAAGCCTGGATCCTGACCCTCTTCTCAGGCAAGCCTGGGGGAACCTCAGCCAGAGGCCTTTTAGGCAGGGTTGCTCTAGCTGTGCGTGTCTAGGGTGCCTCGGGTCTGGGCTGTGGTTCCTGCATTTCTGGGTGCTGGTTATTCTACCTGTTGGTGGAAACACCCAAGCTCTGTGGGACTGGGGCTGCCTTTCTGCAGGGGAGGGTGCTTTCACCATGTGCCAGCTTAGGACACAGAGTCCCTCACCTACCTCAGGCTTCTCCCGATGTGTGTTTACAGCCTCCACGTTCAGGTAGATGGACTCCACTTTGCAGCCTCAGAAAAGAACAACCCGTTCATCCATAAGCCACCCGGGTAAGCACAGGTCTTTCCTGAGGTGTCATTCCCTCCTCCACCCGTCACCACCCACACCCCCAGCTCCATGCTGTGTGCAGACTGTGACTGCCCTTTAGGGAGGGGAATTTAGACCACTTGTGTGATGTCAGGGGAAGACACTAGGCCTAAGATACAGGAATGGGGCATCCTCCCAGCTCTTCCCCTAATAGTCTCAGACTTCTCTGAGCCTCCCTTGCCCAGTTGTCAATGGGAATGAGAGATGACAAGAGATGATTTTTGCACCCCTCCCCAGCTCTTGTCTGTGAGACAGAAACCTAATAATAACAATGGAGCTCTGTGGATCCTCCCAGCTGTGTTAGGTGCTAAAGTGGTGGAAGAGTCCTGGTGTCTCTGCCTGGGGCGACCAGTCCCAGGTAAAATTTATTTCCAGAACTATGCGGTTATGGCAACATCAGAGGTGTGGAAGGTCAGAAGGGAGTTCTAGGAAGCCTGAAGAAAGAGAAGGGTGGTATCATTGGGGCCTGGAGTGGGCAGAGGAGGCCCAATGCCTATGGAAGCCCCCTTAGCTCCATCCCTGTGGATTGAACACTAATCCAGGTTTCAGTACACCATCTGCCCTCTTCATGCTCCAGAATAGATTTGAGTCTGTCTCTTCATCGCTCATGAACATTCCAGAGCTGACTAATGCCCCCAAAGAGAGTCTCAACTGCCCGGGCTGGTCTTTGAACCCTCTCTTCAAATCTGGCCCCAACATACACTTATTCATCTGGTCCCTTTTGGGGACCCCCTCTTCTACAGCTTTGTGCTGTATGATTGGTGCTCTGGTAGAGACAGAGAAAGCTGGGGCCAGGTCCCAGATTTAGAGGCCACCTCAGTCCTTCCCCATTCTCATCTTGCTATCACAAGCCCTGCCTCTACCAAGACATCCAACTACCCACCCAGGAAATCTCTCTCAGGACTCTTCTGGGAAAATGCTAGGCATTGCAGGCATGCTCATGGTGTCTATGTGCTTTTCCCCAGATGAAGGTAGGGGACTCACCATAAGCCACAGGTGTAAGTTTGAGCACTGTGTGCAGAGGGCACCTGAGATAAGGCAGCTCATCTAGAAAGGAGGAGAGAGCAGCCCTCAGAGACAGGGTGCTGGGGAAGGCACCACCTCCCCAGGCCTCCAGGCTTGCAGCACTCTCCCTTTCCACCCCCTTCCCCATGGTTGTCTTCACCTGGGCCCTTCTCCCCCACAGTCTTCAGAGACAGTGCTGAGAGCAGGGTGGGGAAGGAGGAAGAGAGCAGAGAGGCAGCCTCAGGAGCAGGGAGGAAGGAGGGCCCTGGAGATCGCAGACAGACCCTGGGTCCCCCAGACGCTGAGGATGGTCACCTTGGAGGTGGCCGACCTCCTCACCCACAGGGCAAACATAAGACCAAGGCAGGCCTCCCTCCCGCCCCAACCTCAGCCCTTCCATGGGCTCCCCCACCACAAAGGCCCACAACAGGTCCCAGCAAGTGTTTTCTGAGGCCCTACTATGCGCCGGGGCCGTGGCTGAGGTGTGCGTGCACCTTGGCAGCTCCCGCAGCTTTCTCCCCAGCCCAGGCCTGTGCCCTCTGACTCCTGGGACACTTGTTGATGGATAAGCATTCACCGATTCACTTGTTTCCAGTTACTGAGGATTATGTATAAAGTTGTTCTGAATATTCACATGCAATTACTCGTATGGCCTTGATGACATTCAGACAGCCCTGATGGGAGGTGACGATCAGGCCCATTCCATGGATGAGGACACTGAGGTTCTGAGAGGGAAGGCACTTGCCCTATGTCCCACAGCCAGGAAGTGGCAGTGCTGGGACTCGAGCCCAGGATGCTTTGAGGCCAAATGTGTGCTCTTCCCACTGCAGTCTGCTTCCACTGCCTTCGAGGGACTCACAGTGTTGTGGGGTGACACCCCCACCTCACTCCTCTCTGCAGACATCCACCCTCCTGACCACCCAGGCAACCTATACGGCTCCCCATCTCCCTTCATTGAGCCAGAACTCCACCCCTCACGGCCTCCCTGCCCCTGAGGTTCACCGTAGGCTTTTAAGGCCTGCCACTGACCACTCAGCCTCCTGACACATAAGATTTGGCAATTTCCTGGGCAACCAGTCTGCTCCTCCTCCTTGCCTTTGTCACCATCATCTTCAGGTGCTGGGCCCAGTGCTTTTGGTGCACTATCTCATTCCATCCTCACTGATACTCTGCGGGAGTTACTGTTCCTCACTGCACACATGACAAAATAGATTCAGAGAAGGGAAGCGACTTGCCTGAGGTCTCTGACCCAGCTCTGCCACTGCCTGCACAAGTGACCTCAGCCCTGTCTTTTCCCTTTCTGGTCCCTAAAGTTCCTATCTCTCATAGCACAGGATTGGACCCAGCTCTGAGGTCTTATGGGTCTGAGTTCTCAGTCACACCATCTCTCTGGGTCTCAGTTTCCTCACGTGAGTGATAGGGGCAAGAGCATGTGCCCAGCCCTGCCTGGCCCAGCTCTTAAGACAGCTGTGAGAAGATGGCATGGCCTGTGCATGAAAGTGGTTAGTAAGTGGGTAAAGCAGTGTGCAAACGGGAGATGCATGTGCTTCCCATGCACCTCACATGTGTCTGAAGTGAGAGGCCTCTGGAATGCACCTGAGATTGGTACCTCTCCTTGAGCCCTGTGATCTTGGGCAATTCCTTCATCCCTCAGAGCTTCCATTTCCTCTTCTGCACAGTTGGGGTTACAAGACCGGCCTCACAGTCTCAAAAATAGTACTGAGCAGTAGAGATGTGGACAGTATCAGAAATCTAGCAGCACCACCCCACCCCCTGTCATCTTTTTTCCATTGAAGAGATTGAGGACCAAGCAGAGGAAATTACTTGTCCAATGTCAAGTTTTCAAGTCCCAGGGGTTCCAATTCTAGATGACTCCATATTACAAGTGCCCTTTGCTTGGAAGCTAGCGTCATAGAAAAGATCCAAGTCTGCAGGATATTGTACACTTCAAATATGACTTTGCATTGTCCTCACACTCCCTCCCTCCAGTATCCTGGAGATGTCAGTGCTTCAGCATTCATGTCAGAAATGGACTCTCCCACCTGAAGGTGACACAACAGTCTCTTGCCAGGCCAGCTGCCTTAGTTTGCATTTCAGTATTTGTAGTCAGTGTAGATACTCTGTAAATTAAAATATCTAGATGTTTTTTATAAAAAGAAATTATCATTTAAAAATTTTAAATGAAAACATCAGTATCTTGGGGAAATCATCCCTATAGCAAAGACAGAAACCTATAATCAAAATCAAGAGACCACAAGAGGTCCCATTCCACCTGAGAACAGCATGCCTCAGACAAATACTGGCTCATCTTTTTCAGGTTGAGGCAGACTGTTAAGGTTGGCTTTGAAAATGTTATCTCAGAGTAACACTGATATTAATAATAGCAGCTAACACTTATATGGCCCATACTTTGTGTCATGAACTGTTCTAAGCTCTTTATGTTAAATATGTTCATTTATTTAAACTTCATCATTATTCTCCCCATTTTACAGATAAGGAAACTGAGAACAGAGAGGTTAAAGTAATTTGCCAAAAGTATTATGTGACAGAGCAAGAACTTGAACACATGCACCCTTGCTCTAGATCCCGTGCTCTTAACTATTAAGATATAAACCACCAATTTCTGGTGTCAGAGTCTCAACTCACATGCAGCTCCCATGCCAGGAACAGAGAGAACAGTGGTACCTGAGCTCTTGTCCAGGAAGTAGGCCAGGAGGCACCGCATGACAGCCTGGTGGCAGATCACCAATACATTTTCCTGCCGTTCTAGCTCCATTATAACTGGCTCCAGACGCTGGACCAGATCCTCATAGGACTGAAAGGGAGAGAAACACTTGGGTAAGAAGAGGAGATGAGGCACATTTGCCCGGAGGAGAAGAACTCTACACTAGGAATCAGGAAAACTTGGCTGTGGTGCCAGTTCCGTTGTTGGTCCAGCAGTATGACCTTAGGCAACTCACTTCCTTCTTAGGGCCTTAGTTTCTCATCTATTAAATGGGGCAACCAATATAGTAGAGTAAATAATAATAAATTTTCCACTAAAATTCCCTAGAAAATCTGGATAAAATAAATGTCTGCACTGCTGATCTTTCAAGAAAATGAAGGAAACGTTATGAATATATGGTTCCAAAATGAAGAAAAACTGAAAAAAAGAGTGATAAATGGATATAGAAGCCACAACTCCCATGAGGGCATTTGCCAATCACAGTATCCAAGAGACTTGAACTTTTAAAACCTTATAGAAACACGAGACAAGGCCTTAGGTGTGTACGAGATGGGGATTTGGGACTGAGACTCTCACAAAAATCTGAGACCTTCAAAGGACTACATCCTCAGAAAAACTATAAACTAAAAAATATATCCACAGGCAAAGGGAAACAGTAAGAAAATATATCTGTCTCTGCCTGACTCTTGGTGGAAAAAATTAGGAAAAGCCTCCTGTAAGAATGTATAACCACAAGCCTATCCTCAGGTGGATTTGTGGTTGAGAATTATACTACCTATGTGTTTTAGAAAATGCTAAGCTGAGAGTTTAATAAAAAGTGATTTCAAGTCATTAGCTCCCAAGAGTGTCTGGAAGAAGCAAATGGAAATTCTCTCTGGATTCTCTCAACTCAGACTGCATGGGATTCCCATAGATAAATTTTCATCAAACTGAAGCTCACATAACATGCAAGGAAAATAAGCTATCATGAGTAAAAATAAGCAGAAACAACAAGAACCCTAACAACTTAAGATAAAGGATCCACAATATAAAATGAATATGCTTGAGATTTTGAAAGAAATAAAAGATTGAATCAAAAATGTAAGGAAGAAATAAGATGCTATTGAATATATGATCTAGATTTGAAAAAGAACTAAGTAGAATTTCTATAAATGAAAGATATAGTCATTAAAATGGAAAACTCAATGGATAGAGTAAACAGCAGATTAGATACAATTCAAGAAATACTGTTCTGGAAGATAGAGCTGAAGAAATTACTCAGAATGTAGCAAAGAGATTGAAAATAAGAAGAAGTTAGGAGACATAAAGGATAGAGAGAGGACTAACACACATCTAATTGCATTTCAAGGAGATAATAGAGAAAATATGAGAGAGGAATATTTAAAGATATAATGTCTGGGAATTTTCTAGAATCGATGAAGAATCCTAGTCCTCAGATTCAGGAAGTCCAATTAACCCCAAGCAAGATAAATGAAAAGAAATTAATATTTAGACATATCAGAGTGGAACTAAAAGCCATAGAGACCCAAAGACCCTAAATGCAGCCAGAGAGAAAAGAAATGACAATTAGAATTTCAGGAGACTTCTTAACCATGTTAGAAGCCAGAAGACAGTGGGGACAATATCTCCAAAGTGCCGAGAGAAAACTGTCATCCTAGAGTTTTATACCTTGCCAAAATACCATCTAGGATTAAGAGCCACCCCTCCTTAAAGACATTTTTAGACAAAAAGAAAGGTGAGTCTACTACCAACAGATCCTCCTAAAGAAACTTCTAAAGGAAGATAGACATTGAACCCAGAAGGAAAACTTCAGCTGTAAGGAGAAAGAATGATCAAGGGAATGATCAAGGGAATTGGATATATGTGGCTAAATCTAAATAAACACTGACTGTATACAATATTATTTTTTAGCAAATAAGAATTATATTTTAATTGGATAAGTGATTTTACCCCTTTTCCACTATATAAAATCCATCTAGGAGAACAGTATGGAGGTTCCTTAAAAACTAAAAATAGAACTATCATATGATCCAGCAATCCTACTCGTAGGCATATATCCAGAGAAAACCATAATTTGAAAAGATATATGCACCTAATGTTCACTGCAGCACGATTTATAATAGTCAAGACATGGAAGCAAGCTAAATGTCCATCAACAGATGAATGGATAAAGAAGATGTGGTATATATATATATATATATATATATATAATGAACTATTACTCAGCCATAAAAGAGAATGAAATAATGTCACTTGCAGCAACATGGATGCTTCACTTCACTTATCATATTAAGTGAAGTAAGTCAGAGAAAGACAAATATCATACGATATCACATATATGTGGAATCTCATTTTTAAAAAATGATACAAATTAACTTATTTACAAAACAGAAACAGACTTACAGATATCAAAAACAAATTTATGGTTACCAAAGGGGAAAATTGGGGGGGGGGTGGAATAAATTAGGAGCTTGGAATTAACAGACACACACTACTATATATAAGATAGATAACCAACAAGGGCCAACTGTATAACACAGGGAACTCTACTCAAAATTATGTGATAACCTTTATGAGAAAAGAATCTGAAAAAGAATGAATATATGTATATGTATAACTGAATCACTTTGCTGTACACCTGAAAGTAACACAACATTGTAAATCAACTATAATCCAACAAAATTTTTAAAAAAGAAAAAAATCCATCTATGTGGGTACAAAGTTTATTAAGTGTTTGGAAGTAGCTCTATTTTGTCTAGCATTTATAATAATTCTACTCTGGTAATATTGATTTAACTTAAAAAATATAATATGTTGGTATTATAAGAACAAATAGTGATATATTCTGATAGATTGTTGTAAATTGAAGTGCTTCAGTAAGCATTAATTCAATCAACATCTACTTAGTAAGTTGTGCTTACAATAATAAATCTATTAATAACAATAATAAGTCATCTGGGGGATAAGACACAAGTTTGAAGTAAAATATAAAACAACAATTAACATGTAAGTTAAGAGAGGGAGTGACCAGAGTTGTAACATTTTTATATTGTTTTAGGGGGTGGGTGGAGATATTGATTTTTAGATTTTGTCAATCACACATATTAAAATGTTAAGAGTAACTCTAAAAGAAAGGAGATTGTATAAGTCAAATATAGATGTAAAAACTCTATCAATTCTAAAGAAGGAAGGAAAAGAGAAAAGATAAACTAAGCCTAGAGAGCTCAAAATAAGAGAATAGAAAGAAGTTCAAATAAATCAGTAATTACAATAAAAGTAAGTGTACCAAATTTACAATTCAAAAGACATACATTTTCAATTTTTATTAAAACCAATAAAAGTCAACTATACGCTGTCTATAAGAAACAAAACAAACATACACAGAGAAGTTGAAAGTAAATGACTAAAGATGAACTAAGCAAATACTGACCAGAAGAAATCTTATATAGCTATATTAATATCATATAAAATACACTTTTAGGCAGAAAGCATTATTAGGGGGAAAGAGGCTTGCTCACTATGTAATAATAAAATATACAATTCACTAAGGAGATATAATTGCTTTAATTTTGTATGCCTCTAACAACATAACCTCAAAATATATAAAGGAAAATGAGGGCAAAGTCGGACTGACTTCATAATGTCATTTTTGAGGATGAAAATACACGTGTGAAAGTGCTTTGTAACACAGGATATCTATTGTTTCTTCTCTGATATCCTGCTTTCTGATAATTGTTCCCTGGAATCTATCAAAAATGGAGTATGACTAACAAATATTCTAACATGTGGAACTGGCTAAATGGAGACTGGGTTGAAAACAACGAGGATTTACCTCACATGGGAATAGGGAACTGATAGTCTGGTTCATGTGGTGGCAAAGAAGTTGGATAAACCATTAGCCATTGTCCCTTGGGACTCCAACCCACAGTCCAGAGAGGCTGGAGCTTTAGGCAACTTGGCAATAAAATGTCAGGAAATTAGAGTATACTGAACTATTTCAAATACCTTTAGTGTAAGGGTATCAAATTCAAAGTTTAGGACAAAGTGAGTCCTCCTGAAAGAAGACAGGAAAATAATCAGGCAAATGTGTAGCTTTTAAAAAAAGGGGAATCTGTTGCCTATAGCTAAGAATGAGAGAGCAAAGGGCCAGATAATCATATGCCTTGCGGGATGGAAGATGCTGCAAACTTTGCTTTACCCTGTTTTTAAAGCTGTCTAGGAAAATATGGAATCCTGGTAGTTGGAATAGAGATACTGGGGAGGAGTCCTAAGAGTCTGGTCACCCCTCCAAACCTTACCTCTCCCTTGGGATAGCGGTAGCGATATTTATCTTGATCTCGTAGTGCAAATTCTTCAGGGTAGTGCTCTTGGATTTCTTCGTAGGTCATCTCCTCACAGACACCCTGAGAAAAATTATTTGGGGACAAAAGTATTCACAAGTTGAAATCCCCACAACCTTTACCATAGTTCTGAAGCCAATGATTGTGGAACTTTAGTACACAAGCACCTGGGTTTCTGTGAACACAGCTCTAGGTCTGCGTCTGTTGTCTGAATGTATGTGTGTATGTATGCACAAGGTGTGTAGCTGTGTGGATGTGAGAATGAGTGCATGTGTATAGGTGTGTTCAGGCTGAGTGTATGGTGGGTATCTGGTGTTTCTCTATGGTTGTCTCCAAAGGTTTATAGGTGTACATTGTATATATGAGTGTGTACTTTTATAAATTTGTGGGGATTTGTGACTGTGTTTATCTGTGTGTGTGCAGCATGATTATGGTGTGTATTTGTGGTATGTTTAAGGTTCTATGCTGTTGGTTGTGTTTTTGTCTCAGCATATGTATAGTGTATTGGTGTGAGTGTGTGTGTATGAAGACTGTCTGATCATCTAAGAATCTGCCTGCATGGGTGTCTCTGTGGTCTGTCCCTCCATGTGGGTCTCAGTGTGTCTGTGGTATGTGTATCTGTGAGTGTGTATGTCCCTGATTATATGTGTGAGTATCTGTGTACCTATGTCTAAGGTCTGCATTAATCTGTGGTAATATGATTGAGGTTATGTGTCTGTACTGTTTATATGTCCCTGGTATGCCTCTATGTGTCTATGTGATGTAGATATATGCAAAGACTGCATGTGTGTCTATGGTGAGTGTGATATGTATCTCTAGGTGTGTCTGTCTGTAAGTGTGCATGTGTGTGCATGAATGGTGCAAATATGATTGGTAAATGCATCTGAGAGGGAACCTGTGTTTGACTATTGGGTCCATGTGTCTGTGAAGTACATGTCTGTGAGTGTAAACATACCTATGGTGGATGTCTGTGACTGTGTAGGCAGGCGCATGTGTGTGCACACATCCACAGCAGTGCTTTCTTGTGTTATAGCATTTCCCATCCCTCCTGCCCACACCTCTGCTCCAGGACCTCTGGCAGATAAAGAAACAGGTATCCACAGACTTCTCAGAAGGCAAGAATTAGTAAATTCCTAACAGTTTCAGAGTGGTCCTTGGGGAGATACACTCTCCACACCCAAAGGAATCAAGGGCTCAGAGAATGAGTTCCCACTGAGAAATCCACAGAAGTGAGGTGGCTGCTGGTAGAGGTGGGAAGTGATGTTGGGTTTGTAAGATTTCCTTCTGGTTGTGTAGATTCCAAGTAGACCTTCCTGTAGGGGAGCAATGTGCTCTGGTTGTTGTCTTTTGAGCCATCAACCAAGCTTCCCTTAGGGTTTAGGTTCACCCCTGCCCCAGCCTACAAGAAGACAGGCAGTGTCAAACCTGCAACTGACACTGTCCATAGGAGAAAGTGCACCCTGTATATACACAAGGTCCTTCCAGATTGGCTTTGACTTTATATTCTGAGGCATGCTGGGAGCCTGTTGCCTGTGGAAGTGGCCACTGACTTTATTGACAAGGAAAATTGCTTAACTTCTCTGAATTTTATTTTCCTCATCTGCAAAATAAGGATAATTATAACTACCTCACAACAGTAGTTTGAATATTAGAGATAATATATGTAAAAGAGACTAGTACAGAATGTACAAGGCACATTTTAAAAACTCAATCAATAGAATATATTATTATATTAATTAATATTATTTAGATTATATAGTAATTTAAATAGATTAATTTAATCTAATGTTATTAGATTAATATATCTAATTATTAATATATTACTGAATGGAAAAGAAACCAGAAAATTAGACATCATTCTAAATTCTTCCTTCTTCCTTACCCATCCCCTCATAGCTAATTCCTGAGATTCTACCTCTTAAATTTCTCTCAGATATATTCCTTTTTCTTCCCTCTCCATCTGCACTGCTATGACCTTAGTAGGTCTACACACACACACACACACAATTCCCTCTTTGCTTATTCTGCTTTCTCTGCGTGACATACTATTCCTGATCCTCTCTCTCTGGCTCACTGTTACTCACCCCTTAGGCTTTAGCTAGGCATCACTTCCTCTAGGCAGATCATGGCTGGGTCAGATGCCTTGCCCCAACATCTGTGTGCCCACATTCTAACCCATCAGAGGCTGTATCATGCACACTATTTTGCATTCCTCTGTCTACCCTGTTTTTTTCTGAAAACCCAGTGAAGACAGGAACCAATCTCTGTCTCCAGCACTACTCCAGAGCCTGAAATGGAGTAGGTATCCAATAAATGTTTACACCACATGTGGGCCAGAAACAAACAATAACTGAACAATTATGATGAACTGTTGCTTGCATGTATTTTATAACAAATATATGTGATATGTATAACAATGCTGTATATCCCTTTTCTAAATATGTGTGCCTCTGTACATCTACAGTTAAGCATATATGTATTATGTATACACAAACATATTTCTCTGTATTTATCTAGCAGGCAATCAGGTTAACCTACCTACACACAAGCTATCTATATCTGTAGTGAAGCTTTTACTTTAGTGTCTAACCTGAGGTCAGTGTACCTATAGTACAGGTGAGACAATGGAGAGGAAACACTTTCTCAAGAAGCTCATGGAAAAACCTGACTCTAATGAGAGACTGCCATGTCACGAGGGTCATATGAAATATTTACCAAATTTTTCTTCTTCATTTCATCTCCAATATACATATGGGCCATCACACCCTCACCTCTTGCCTAGACAAATGCAGCCATCTCCATACCGGTATGCATTCTCATTCTGGCCTTCTTCTCACCTAGTCTCCACACATGACCAGAGTGGTCTTTTTTTAAGAAAACGTGAATCACATTCAGGCCACTCCTCCTTGACTTAGACCACATCAATGGCTTCCCATTTTTAGGGCAGCATCCAAATCCCTCAACATGGACTATAAAGCCCTATAAGCTGTCTTCATTTCCAACCTCATCTCCCTTCTCTCCAGACCTCACATTCACTGTCCCAGACTCTCTGCTATTTTTCCTCAGTTCCCTAAACATGCCATGCTCTCTTCTTACCTCTGGGCTTTCACATGAACTGTTCCTTATTTCTCGAATTAAAATTATCCCTCACCCCAGTCCATTTTGCCTGCTTCTTGTCTCATCTCCAGCTTCCTCTAGGAAGCTTTCCTTCTAAATCTTCCACCACTGTCTTGTCAAGAGTACCCTCACCTTCTGAGACTCTATAGTCCCTTGTACTTCCCCTCTCACAAACTTTTGTCACATGCAAAGCAATGTCTTATTCACGGCCTGCCTTTGGGCTCCATGAGAGTAAATATCTTGTCTGTTCTGGCCTTCACTGGATCCCCAAGACACAGAACAGTGTTTAGCACAAGAAATGTTTGCCGAATTAATTAGGTTCCCCATATGAGCCAGAGTAGAGGCAATCCAGGGGATAAGCCTAGAGTCAAGCCTCACCATCCACCGGGAAATCCATCCCCCTCCATCTCACCGCATCAATCTCATTCAGGGCCTTCCACTGCTCATAAGGAACACCCAGGGCTTCAGCTGTCTGGATAGTCCTCTTCATGTGGCTGGTCCACACCTTCAGGGAGCTGATGCCCTGGGACTGAATGAAGTTGGCCAGGGCATAGGCATACTGGGGAGTAGGGGTGCAAAGGAGGAGAGCAGGGGAGAAAGAGAGATGAAAGAAGACAGGGTGACCATGAGAAGAATTTCAGATCTGCCACAAATAATGGAGTGACGATGAACAAGCAAAAGTAGAGCTTAAATATTCCCAATTTATAAAAAGTCATACTCTTGCCCATGTGACTAAGAACCAAGGGAATAGAGAAGAATATGTGTATTTATGTGTGTATATGTGCATATGTGTGCGTGTGCATTCACTGATGTTTGCTCACAGAACCTCCTACTTGATTGTTCATTTATTCAAACAGCCCACCTCTAACATTTGTGGAGCCTGGGACAAAAGTACAAATGGAAGCACTCCACTCATAGTCTACTTCCCTCCTTTTCCCATTTCTGCTCCATCCTGCACTCCTAGGTGCCTTGAGTACACGTTTATGGATAATCCAGTCACAGGAACAAGTTCTGTCCACACCATATCTCCACCAATCTCCATAACACACAAACAGTAACCCCTTGGCCACCCCTTTGCCTAGGGGTGAACACTTCTGTGACATGGCCTTTTCTCAGGTGAAAAGACTCTGGGATGTGCCCATGTAGGTAATGGAAGCAGACTCTGGGCAGGAAATTCTAGTGTTCTGGGTACTCTGAGTGTGGTCTGGAAGTGTATGGGGGTGGGATGTGGGGTACATTTCCCTTTGACCCTGTGAATTCTCATTGTTTGAGCAGGGGACCTGGTACCCAGGTTCTAAGGGCATTCAAACATTTACTGAGTGTGTGTGGCCATGTGCTGCGTACTGGGGTGTCCTGTTATTAAGACATGGTCAGTCCAGTGAGGGAAACAGTGACAGCACTAAAAGGAACCACTTAGGTTTGTGGGAGCCCAGATGAGCAAGTGGTTCGCTATTCTTCTGCATACAGGCATGTTATTCATCACAGATGGTGTGTGAGGAACATCTGCACAAATGTACAGGTACAGGCACACATTTTTATGTACAAATATAGGCATTGTGTACACACATTCTAATTATGGATTATGAGTCAGCAGTCAGTGTGCTCTGGTGGAAGGAGTGCTGACTGGGAGACAGACGATGGGGGTTATGCCTGTGTGGCCTGTGACGTGTCCCTGGCCATCTCTGGCCTCATATCTCCTGCCTATAAAATGTAAACAGCGTTAGCTCACTCAGCCTGGTCTCTGTGTCACATTGGATAGTGGACCGGGAGCACCCAGAGTGCTCCCTGGCACATAGTAAGTGAGAGCTACTGTGATTGGTGGTGGGTGACAGTTGATGGGAAACTGCTTTGTAAACAATGCATGGTGCACTGTGCCCTTTAGCATGAAGGTTGGGGCCAGGCGTGTGCATGTACATGTGCACACTTGTGTTCAAGGAGGCATGTTGGGTGGAGATGGCCACGTGTCCAAACTGGGTGCTAAATTGTGCAGGCAAAGCCACGGACAGCCCTAACCAAGAGACCCCTGGCTGTAGGTGGTGCCACGGGCTAGGGTGGCTCCTCCAGTGGTCTCTGACTCTGCGAGAGAGGCGAGAGTCAGAGGTCAGAGTCTACCTCGAGGGGAGGCTACCAGTCTGAAAGTAACAGAAAATGATCCAGGAGGACCAGGCCTTCCGGTGTGATGCCTTGCCTGTGATACTGCCAGCTCTGCAGTGGGGGGAGGCTGAGGAGCAAGCATGAAGGCCTGGTTTTCAGTCCTGGCTCTGTCCTTTACTGGCTGTGTGACCAGGGGCCACTCTCTGTTCCTGTGTGGGCCTCAGCCTCCTCATCCATAAATCAGTGACAGTAATGGCCACTGCACAGAGCTGCTATGAAGATTAAATGAGGCCACACATGTGGAAGCAGATGGTGCCGTGAATGTGCAGAGGTGTCCAATAAGAGAGGACATTCCCTCCCTCCTGCACCTCATTTCCCACTTGTTCCACCCCAAGCCATCCTCCCAGCAAGAACAATAACTGTGTTAACAAGTCCAGGGTCAGGGCCAAATATGGGAAAATGTGTCTCTTTAATTGGCCAGCACCCATAATGTGCAGCTCACTATTCCCAGCTACAAAGAGACTCCCACCGTGAGGGTCAGAGATGGGCCAGAAATGGGGGGGATGGAGCCCAGGTGACCTGACTAGGAGAGCAGGAAAGGACAGGGGAGGGCTTCCTGGACCAGCTCATGGAGCAGGAGATGGGTCCTGGAAGGGGTGGAGCAGGGAGGGCAGAAAAGAAGCGGTAACTGGGGGAGGACAAGTGCTGACCCTGTGATAACCTGTAGTGGGGGTTTGGGGGAGTAGAATCAGCCCTGAGTAATGGAGGAGAAGACGGATTCAAAGGTGGGGCACTTTAAGGCAGGTATCTGTGCAAATGACGGTCACCAGCTGACAGAGGGGACAGAGGAGGACAGCCTCGGTGGGGAAGCTGCACAAGCAAAAGCACAGAGTTGTGAGAAAGATGAGGGGACCAGTCAGGCAGGAGAGAGGGTGCTTATTGTAATGGGGCTGGAGGAGCAGCCAGATCTGGGAAGGCCTGGACCAAGCCATCGGACTTGCAGATGCTGTTGGCACTTGGGAGCCATTCAGTGGGTCAAAACTGAGTGGCTGATGGGGTGGAAGAGCAAGAGTGACCAGAACCTGCTTTTATCCTGCCACTGAGTACCCCCATCCTCAGGACCCAGGCAGCAGCCACCCCACCAACCCACAGCCCACCTGGACCAGATCAGCCAAAACCTCTGAGTGCATGGGGCCATCCCTACCTGCTTGCCCCGAGCTGAGAGGCCAGAGTCACCTCCGATGCGGCCTCTGAGGTTGAGTTCACTCTCACCGTGCCGGCATAGGTAGATGGAGCGGGGTGTGACGTGGATGTTCATGAGATAGTAGACTGTGCGGCTCTGGATGTGGTCCTGCAGTCGGTTCACCATGTAGCGTGTGCCCACGTCGAAGATCTTGATGTAGGACAGGTGGCTGGGCCAGCCCAAGCAGGAGCAAGGGCAGCTCAGGGGCTGATGTTGGAGAGGCTGATCCCAAGAGAAAGCCCCAACCACACACCCTGCCTTCAAGCTTCCTCCATAACCCAGCTCTCACCTACCTTTCCTCTGACAAGGTGCTATGCCTTGCCCTGTTCTGGGTACCTGTTCTAGAGACTTGGTTCCTGGCCACTCTGAGGAGCTCACTGCCTGCTACCATCTCCTTTTCTCTCCTTTCCTCAATCTCAGTTTGAGCCAGACTGTCTTTTTACTTTCACTCCTCACACTTCAGGCATCTAGGGTTCTCTCTTTTTTGGCTCACACTGCTGACATACTCAGAGAGAAACAGTAATCCTCTGTGTCCCTGACTGTCTCCAACATCTCACAGGCCACTTGCATTTGCTGACTATTTTGTGTGTATGTATGCACCTGGCAGGGGTGGGGGCTTCAAAGTGCGTAAATCCTCATAACCATCCTAGGAAGCAGAGATTATTATCTCTGATAGGTGAGGAAACTGAAACACAGAGAGAGGAATTGATTTGCCTAATGTCAAACTCTCCAACCATCTCATCTATGACTCTCAGAACCTAAGTAGAAAATATCTGATGTAGCCTTGTTGCCTTGTTTCTGGTACTAGGTCCTGAGTGGCTCTAGGAGAACTTCCAAATTCTGTAGCTTAGTCTGACATTCTAGGTGCCTTCATACACTGGTCCTGCTTTGCCTCACCTCAGTGTTCCATGTCTATGCTCATAACTTCTCTGTTTCATTCTAGCCTTAATGCTTTTGCTGAAATATTCTCTGTACTCCTCTACTTTTATTCAGATTTAACTAGGCCATTGCAAGGTACTGTTCTCTTTCCTTGAAAATATGTTATTTGCCTGATTTCCAAAGTTGAGCTCCTATGCATCCATCCTTCAAGAACCAGTACATTCACTCTCTTTAGAAAGTTTTCTTTGAGCCCAGGATCATATGAAGTCATTTAAAGGTACTTCACATCAAAAGTCTTATAGTAGCTAATGCTTACCCCCATTATGTGTAATTTAAAATAAAAATTATAAGTTATATTATAACATGAAGAAGGTCTACTGAGTTCTGGTTATATTTTTTTCTGTTTTGACTACCTTGATGCTGTTTTTGAAATACAAACTATTAAAAGCTTTCAAGATTTTCTTTTCTTATTTTTGGTGGACTCTACCTTGCTGGTGCCCTAAACGCATGTCTAGTCCACCTACTGGGTAAACATGTTCTTCCAGACCTTTTCCTCCCAGTTGGACTGGGTCCCCTCTTCTGTGTTCCCCCACCCCACTTGCTTTACCATCACCACAATTCTGGTCAACTGCATACTCATTGTCTTCCTCAACCAACTGGGCATTCTATCAGAACAGAGATAGATAGACCTTCCCTCTTTGGGTTCCTAGGGCACAGCTTAGGAGTGGGCCTTGATGCATGGATTGTAAATGTCTGTTGATGGAAAAACGATTAGATAAAGCCAACTTTCAGAATCAGTTGTCTTCAGACCCAAACTGATTCATCAAACACCGAGTACCTGCAGCAGTCTAGGCCAAAGGCTAGGGGCTTTCTCAATGCTGTTCTTTCATTTTAGCTCCCCTCCTTCAAACTTCTTCCACCATATGCTACTATTCATACAGTGCCTTTGTGGAAATTTGAAAAAGTTTCCCCTACTCCAGTACACGTCTTGGTGAGAAAAGCAAGTGTACCCGTGACCTGGCACAGTGAACAATATTCACAATTGTACACAAGGTCCTGCCCCTTGACCTGAGTGTCTAAGCCTCATGTGGCACTTTTATGATATAGGGATGTGGGAGGAGGATAACCATGATGGAAGTTTGAAGACAAGAATTTGAGTATATATTCTGCTACTCACTCATTGTGTGGCCTCAGGTAAGCCCTTGCCCTGCTGTGGGTCTGTTTCCCCATCTAAGAAGTGAGGCAGTAACAATGCTCACCTCTGGGGACTTTGGTTGGACAAAGTTGGAAGGATGCTCTTTAAACTTCTTTGGGTGGTGATGACTGTTAGAAGTCTCCTTATACTTCTTACTTGGGGTCCAAAGGGTCTGAGTGACCAGGGTCTCTTCTCATCACAATCCATTTTGAAAGAAAGTGAGGTTCTGGGTATACCCTACGTCTAAAACTCACATCTTCCCTGTACTGCCAGCTAACACCTCTCCAATCTTTAGTTGGTATTGTGAATGAAAGTTTCATATTTTTAATGTATCTTCCCATATGTCAAAGCACTATGGAAGCTACCTGAGGATAGAACCTACCTCTCTTGCCCTTATTTACACCCCCGATGTACACCATAGCCCAAAGAATCCAAATACTTACTGGTTGAAGGTGCATGCATGTTGTGAAAACAGACATGATTAAGAGACAGAATATGTAGTTAGAATCCTAGCTCTACCCCCTGACTTGTGGTGGAAGCTTGAGCAAGTGGTTTCAGCTCTCTAAGATGCAATCTCCTCTTCTTGAAAATTTATGATCATAAGACCTATTTCAGCCTCCTTAACAGGGATGCCGAGGGGATTCAATGAAACAAAAAAGGTGAACATGTTTGGAAGCTGAAATGTCATCCATGTGTGAAGAATACTTTTGAAAACATAATAGCAACAACCACAGGAGAGAGGCATTTCTCCCCCCCTGAGATCAGGGTCCTAATATGTCCACATTGTTCAGGAAAACACTACTTCAAGCCCCTTATGATGAACACCTTACACAACAAGGAATCACCACCTCATGGATAATTAGAGCTGGGAGGGCCCTTGAAGACAAATCAAGTACAGTTTCCTGATGTTACAAATAAAGTTGAGGCCCAGAGAAGGAAGGCATTCCTCCAGGTCCTACAGGACATCAAAACCGGGCTAAGGATCCTGACCTTTACTTTGGGGTTCTGGGTTCTTACCTGTCTAGTTCATCATCCAAGGGTTGGTAGTTGACCTCATAGCACTCAATTCTCTTTAGAAAGTCTTCCAGAACCTTTTCATGGTCACAGTCTATGTAATCAGGGCTGCCAAGTTTCACTTGCTGGAGGAAGGGAAAAAGATGGAAGAACCATGGGAGACAGAGACTCCGACAGTGCCCTTGGGATGAATGCCTAGAGATCACTGAGTACAACATTCCTCATCATAAAGATGAGGAAGTTGAGACTTGGAGAAAGGTTCTTGCCCAAGTTTACAAAATCAGTCAGTTGAAGAGAATCTGTACTGTGTTAACACCTCATTCCTTATCCCTGTGTGCTCAAACAAGGTCTGTTACATTATATTCAGTTCACACACTGTTTAAGAGAAACATTTATAAGTGGCCTGGAAATTGTGGTGTGAGAAATGGTTGAAGAAAAGGAACAGGAGATCTTGGCTGGGGATCATAATGGCTTACATGTATTGAGTGTTTACTGGGATAACATGGCATATATTGGCTTTAGATTTCTGAGGGGCTGGCAACTCCTAATCCCTTAATATATCTACCTTCTCCACCCACATTCACCATCTCAGTGAATGTCACTATCATCTACTCAAGTCACCTGAGCCTAAAATGAATCTGGGAGTCATCCTAGATGTGTCTCTTTCTATCATCCCCCACCTCTTAGAAGGTACCAAATCTTCCCCCCTGTATCTTCTAAATATCTCTCCAGCTGGCCTCCATCCATTTCCTGGATGCTCACTCTAGCTTTGTGACTGGTTACTCTGTCTATAGTCTAGTTACTTTCCCATACTAGCAGCCAGAAGGATATTTCTAACATGCACATCTGAATATGGAATTCCTCTGCTTGAAACCCTTCACCATTTCCTCACATCTTTTAGGACAAAGTATGAAATATTTTAGCAGGTGACTCATGGCTTGTTATGATTGGGCCCCAAATGATTTCTTCATCCTCCTCTCCCATTGCCCCTCTAGACCTCCACACACTTTGCTTTAGACAACCTAGGCTATTTCTAGTTCCCCATAGATGCCATACTTAGTATATGCTATCCCCCTATTTTCCATTCTTTACTTGCCAAATTCCTATGCATTCTTCAAGATGAAGGTCAGCTATTACCTTCATTGAGAAGCCTTCCCATGCAAGGTTAGGTCCTCAACACTGTGCTGCCACAGCCTCCTTTGTTTCTTCATCTCAGCACTGATCTCACAGAATTATGTCTATAAAATTGTCAGTCTCCCTCACTAGACTGTGAGCTCAAGGGCCAGGCACTCCCCTATCTATTTCTGTCTCTAGTACCCAGAATGGTTCAACCCAGGTGTATGTATTCAATTTATGTTTAATCAACAAATGGATGGATAGGTGGATGGATGAAAAGGAAAGAGAGTACTTGGACATATTCTATGCCTCAAGAGGCAAAATTAGGACCAATGAGTGGAAATTACAGGGAGGCAGATTTCAGATTGATTGGACTGCACTTAATGAAGGCAATGAGCTTTCACACTGGAGGTACAAAGAGAAAATCTACACAAACAATTAGCTAAGATTTCAAGTTTCTGATGAAGTGTTGAAGGAGGTGACTTTTAAGGTCACCTCTGTCCCCAAGATACAGTAATTTAATGAAATAGGGAACAATAAAATGTAGTGAGTGAACTAAATCTAGACCACATGCCTAGAAACTGTAGAAAAGAGCAGTGATAGCTCTGATATGAATTGTGGGTGAGAAAAAAGAGCTTTCAAGGCAGACATCCAAGCTTGAGGTCCAGTCCCAGTTCTACCTCTTCCTGGCTGTATGAACACTTGACAACTTACCTCTCCTCTTGGAACCTTAGTTTCCTCTCCAATACTTAAAGGAATTTCACAGAATCATTGTATGCCAGGATGATCAGGGAATACTTCCTATAGGAAGTGGGAGGAGAAGCTCAGGGAAGATACCTCCTTTAACTGCACAGAGGTATTTCTAGGTATGATCCAAATCTGAGACAAAATAAGAAGGAAAGTGACTGGTGCTCCTTACCCTGATGTTTTCTGCAATGACGTCAGGGTCATTACAAATGGACTCAATGAAAAAGACCTATAAAAGAAACAGAAGAAAGATTTCCAGCAAGGAATTATGTTTGGTAGGAGTCAAACATAGCTTGACCCCTTCTCAATGGCTCTGAGTCATCTTTAGAGGTATCTCTGACAACATAATTTCATACAGTGGTGCTTTCAGGATTCTGAGTTTTATGAGTCAGATTGGCCCTGAATTGTAGTGGTTCTCTCTCCTCCTTCCTCATACCCACCCCCACAGTGTCAACTTGTCAGCAGTTATCTTCCATTGCCTAATGTGGCACCTCTTCTTTCCTGTTCTGTTCTGTTTTGATGCTTCTAACTGTGACCTGGAAAATCCTACAACTAAATTAAAATGCTGACCCTATGGTAGCTGATTTGGCATCTCTTCCTCCCCTGGTTTGCCTTTCTTTGGTGTTTGTTAAATGAGTAGGCTCTAGATAAGAGTTAGAGAGTTACTCTACCTTGTAACCATGTTCTTTAGCAAACTGCAGAATCAGTGACCGTCGTTCTCTGGTAGTGTTGGTGGCATCAAAAACCTAGAGGCACACGATGAGATTGGTTTGCTCTGAATCTGGCTCTGATAGAATGCCTACTCTTTGACCATCTCTGTGCTAAGTACAGGGCTTCCAGAAGGGGATAAAACTTGAACAGGGTTTTGAAGGATTTGGAAATGGCTTATATCAATTTCTCAAACACTCATTGAGCCCTCACTGCCTGCCCAGAAATGTAGCAGACTCTGTAGACATAATAAAGCAAGAGGAAAATGGTGGGGGTTTATTAGAGTTATTTTACAGGTAAAGTAGCTGAGGCTTAGAGGAAGTGTTTGCCTTAACCAATGTCACAGAGAGACAAACTGTCACAAACTCTGACAAAGCAGAGTTGGAACCAATTCTCTCAACTCCTAGGTGAAGCTTCTTCCTTCCCTATCACTTTGGAGCTCTTTGAAGCACTTTTAGAATTTGCAAATCCCAAAGGTCTATGAGATTAAATTGATTCAATGTTTAGCTAAATCTCTAGAACTTAAAAATGTTTGTATTGCAGTCAAATTCTAGTGTAGTCCTGCTGAATTCTTGGGGATGGAGTGGTAGTGTATACTGGTTAAGGGTGTAGATTCTGGGGACTTCCCTGGTGGTCCAGTGGTAAAGAATCAGCCTTCCAAAATAGGGGATGCAGATTCGATCCCTGGTCAGGGAACTAAGATCCCACATGACGCGGGGCAACTAAGCCCATGTGTCACAACTACTGAGCTCGCGTGCCTCAACTAGAGAGACTGCGTGCCACAAACTACAGAGCCCACACTCTCTGGAACCCACGTGCCACAACTACAAAGCCCATGCACCCTGGAGCCTTTGCGCCACAACTAGAGAAGAGAAAACCCGCACGCCACAATGAGAGAGAAGCCTGTGCAGCGCAGTGAATAGCCCATGCACCGCAATGAAAGATCCCGCGTGGTGCAACAAAAGATCCTGCAAGCCTCAACAAAGATCCCATGTGCCGCAACTAAGACCTGACACAGCCAATAAATAAATAAATAAATAAATTTTTTAAAAAAAAGAAAGAAAAAAGGAGTGTAGATTCTGGAGCTATACAACCTGTATTCCAGTTCTGGCCTGCCACCTTGGTAAAATATTTAATTATTTAATCTCTCTGCACGACATTCTTCTGGGCTATAAAATGGAGTATAATAACAATACCTATCTCATGGGGGAGGGTGGAAATTAAATAAATATGTGCAAAGTGCTTAGAACAATGTTTAGAACATAGTAAATGCTCAATATATATTAGCTCTTCTCCAACCCAGCAGAAACCTAAGAAAAAATGCAAATTTCTTTACCGCAACATGACCTTCCTCACAGCTGAGATAGTTATGGACATCTTTCAGGGCTGCTATGGCACATTGCCTGAAAAAGATGAAGGAAGAAACAGAAACAACCATTATACCCAAAATGGTCTCCTCTCTATTTTTCTGAATTATCTTTTGCACTATCTCTTAGATGTCCTACATTAAATTATTCATCTGTTGAATATCTACAAAGGGTGTCCTATATTCTAGGTACAAGCACAGAGAGGTCACACAGTTGAAAATGTGCTATGACAAGCACAGAGAGGTCACACAGTTGAAAATATGCTATGACAAGCACAGAGAGGTCACACAGTTGAAAATGGCTCTGTGTAGACATTTTAGGTGCAGGTATAAAGTAACATACCCAGGAAAAGTTGACTAATGACAGAGCCATAGTATTAAGGGCTCCAAACCTTGAACTAATAGCGCTCAAGCTGAATTGGTTCTTGAACCCAAGAAGAGCCTGAATATATGGTCTGTGAAGGAGAAGGCATTCCTGGCATATGTAACAGGGCAAGCACAGGTAATAATGTGGAAATGTATTTATGCTTTTGGCAAAAATCTGGTTAGTGATTACTCTTTGCTGAGTTTTATTAAGAGGATATGGATCAATAAATGAGACCCAGGCTCTGTTCTGGAAGTGCTCAGAGTCTTGTAGAGGAGAGACAACTTGAGGTTGAATGGATGAGACTGGAGTGGGCCAAGCTACTGAGACTCTTATTTTAAATTCTAGGCTAAGTTTCCACTCTCTCTTGTCAGAAGTAGGAAACTGTTAAAAGTTCTTAAGCAGGGGATGGATATGACCAGAAATAAGCTTTGGTTAAGATAGTAGAAGGGCTGTCCTAACCACCCTTTGAGACTCTAGGTGGACTCCTTGCTAACCCAAGTTGCTCTGCCCTACTCCCCCATCATTTGAACAAAGGTCTCCCTCAGCCAGGGGGCAGCACAGGTCTTTAAAATATTAGGTACTCACTTCCTGATAAGTAGGGCCTCCATGTTGTCTGGGAGAAAGAATTCGTAGTTCTTGTAGCTCACTGCCTCTCGTCGATACTGGCCTAAATTAAACACTGAAAGCAGGAGCCCTGGTGAAGAGGTTGGGAAGATCCCAGTGGCAAAATAATGTCCTTTCTTGGAGGTAGCTCAGAGGTAAAAGAAGGTATAGTTTGTAGCTATATAATATGTTTACAAAGCTTCAAATTATGGCCACCAGCTCATTTACTCCTTACAACAACCCTGAAAAGTAGGAATCATCATTCCCATTTATAAATGAGGAAATCAAGGGAGTAACTCTCATAGCTAATAAGTGGAGAGATGGGATTCAAACCCAGGACTGTTTGGTTCCAAAGCTGGTGATCTTTCCACTATTCCATTTTAACATAAACTCCAAACCTTTTAATGCCCATAGTATTACTATATATTATTACTGTGTTCTGTACATTACTGCATTGGAAAGATAAAGAAATTGGGACCCAGGGAGTAAAATCCGTCAAGGGTCAAACATTGAGTCAGCTGGGGACATAACTAGACTGGGCCTCCTGAATCCTAGTCCAATGTTGTTACATTTTCTGTATCAAGACAGAGAGTCTAGATTTATTGCCTTCTTTAGGCCACACTTTCTCATTTGTAATGGTGAAAAATCAGAGAGGAGGGAAGGAAAGGGGGAAAGAGGGGATAATAGGCAAAGAGGTAATGTAATATTTTCTTCATTCATCCAATAAATAGTTTCTCATGCCTACTTTGTGAATCAGGACATGAGTTCTGGGGTGTCAGAGATGAAACAGATCTGCATGATGGGGCCCCAAGGAGCTCACAGTCTAGCATGTAGGAAAGAGAGTAAACAGTAAATCAGTAAACAGAGAGCTCTCACCCAGTTTATTAAGTGCTCTGACAGAGCCATGCAAAAGAGCAAGGAGGAAGGAAAGACTAACTAAGCTTGGGGTGATCTCAGATGGTTTCTTGGAAAAAGCAGCATTTGTACCAGTCTTTATAGGAAGGCAGGCCTTTTATTGGCAGGCATGGGGTATGGGAGAGGGGAACAAAGACATTCCAGGTAGAGGAAGAGTTTGAGCAAAGGTATGGCATTGGCAGGAGGCAGAACATGAGACATCCACTGTGACTGAGGCCTGTGAGGCTGTCAGAGACTGACTGTGGAGGGCCTTGAATGATAGGCTAAGGAGCTTGGATTTAAACCTGCAGGCCAAGGGAACCCTTGGTGGCTGTAGATATGGTCATCTTGGCATTTGAAACATGACTCTGAGGGCCTCTGTGCAAGTAGAACAGATGGGAAGCAGGTGCATTAGATCAGAGACCCATCTGACACTGTCCCATGTGCCCCTATGCTCAGCAGAGGCTCCTCAGAGCCTGCAGTCCTACAAGAACTACTCCTTCTTCCCTTCTCTTCTTCCAATGTTCTACTCCTCCCACAGGACACACCCAGCTCAAATACACCCTATCTGGAAGCTTTCACTGCCTTCCAGTAGGTGATTTCCTCTGTGAGGCCCATCAGTATCCTGCTCTGGGATTCTTCAGTGACATGTTGTATTCTTATGCATCCCAGCCAGATGGAGAAATCTTCAAGGACAGGTTGTGAATCTCATCCAGTTTTGCATCTCCAGTGCATAGTATGGGTTTTGGCACATGGAAAACCACTGGGGAACTCTTCACCAGTGAATTAGAGGAAGAGAAAGTGCATGAAGAGAAAGAAGAAATGGGAGAAGGGGAGGAGAATACTTGGAGAGAGGGAGGGAAGGGGGAAGAGAGATAGGGTGTTGGTATGGTCAAGGGAAATAAGAGGAAGAGTGTGGAGGAGAGCACAGGGCCAATGTAGGTTCTTTCTTCTTCCCATCAGTAGCACCAAGTATCAGACCTGCCACAGTGAGTGTCAGGCTTTGGAATCAACCAGATGTGGGTTCATATTCTGGTTCCATCACTTAGTGACCATGTGCCTTTAGACAAGACACGTCACATCTTGGGCATTAATTTCATCAACTGTGGAATGATGATACTAGTTCTTCCTACATGGGTGTTTTAGAACTTAAGAATAGAGTCTGTCATACAGAGTGAAGCAAGTCAGAAAGAGAAAAACAAATACCATATGCTAACACATATATATGGAATCTAAAAAACAAGCAAACAAGAAAAGGTTCTGAAGAACCTAGGAGCAGGACAGGAATAAAGACACAGACGTAGAGAATGGACTTGAGGACATGGGGAGGGGGAAGGGGAAGCTGGGACCAAGTGAGAAACTGGCATGTACATATATACACTACCAAATATAAAATAGATAGCTAGTGGGAAGCAGCTGCATAGCACAGGGAGATCAGCTCTGTGCTTTGTGACCACCTAGAGGGGTGAGATAGGGAGGGTGGGAAGGAGATGAAAGAGGGAGGGGATATGGGGATATATGTATACTTATAGCTGATTCACTTTGTTATACAGCAGAAGCTAACACAAAATTGTAAAGCAATTATACTCCAATAAAGTTTAAAAACTAGATGTGAGTTCTTTGAGGGCAGGGATCCAACATCCAACAAGGGCCGTGGCACAACTGTGTGCTCAACAAATAATTACTGACTGAGTGAGCAAGTGATTGCCCAAGAAGAACTGTTTTCCACACTGGGGAGGAGTGCTCCTTTCCACAAGAGACAGAGGCTAAGCACTTGTGTACCAGTGTACCAGTAAAGGAGGAACACAATCCCAGTAATAATTTTCAGCTAAGTTGATATATGTTAAAAGCATCAATAGTCATTGGGGGATAAATAAAAACTTTTGGTAGACTTTCTTGTATTTACTGATTTTATTCTGAATTACGTATGATGTAGGGGATACCCTAACTTTTAGCATTTAGAGACTCTAAATGTCTTAATTTGGTCCTACTTAAGCAATAGAAATTAACATGATCTAGTCCCCTACCGCAGAGCAGCTCCTGGGGAGAGAGACCCAGACACACAACACACTACAACAACACACTATGTAACTAAGGTTGGCATAGAGGGGTCTGTAGGAAGCATTGGTGTGGGAGCCCAGAGAAACACAGTCCTCCTAGGGGCAACAGAGGAATCAAATAGGAATGGGGATACAGTGTGGGGGATAGAGAAATCAAATGGAGAATAGAAAAATATGATTGCTGAATAAGAGGTAGTAAGCAGAAAAGAGATCACATTGGGGAGAAAGGAAATCTGGAAGTAGGGAGTGAGGGAGGAGGCTGACAGGCAGGGAAGGAGACCCCTCTGGAGGCGGAAAGAGGCAGGATCACTTCCGGCTGGGGAGGGGGAGCAAATAGGCTCAGACCTAAGGAGAGGCTTGGAGAGAGTGGACGCCTTCTGGACGGGAGAGGTGAGCTAAAGTGCCCTGCTTTACTGAAGACCTTGTGGGGGACTCCAGGCTGGGGCTTTGAGGTGCTTGACTCCACACACCCCTAAAATTTAAAGAAAACCTTAAGGTTGTGAAGAAATGGTAATGCTAATAAGAATCGTATTTTTGGTGTAGAAGTAATAATAAAGGTGATAAAAGTAGTATGTTACTCATAGGGTTTTTTTTAGGTCTTACAAAAATCGTGCTCCTTGAAAACAGATATTTAATCTTTGTAGTTTTCTTATGCTTAGCAGCTATCACGGGATTGGGCACAGATTACGTACTTAAGAAATTGTAAAAATTTATGAGGTTAGTGGTGGTGGTGGTGGTGGTGGTGGTGCTATAGTAGTAGTAGTAGTAGTAGCAGTAGTAGTAGTAGTAGTTGTAGTAGAGCAGCAGCAGCAGCAGTAATAGTATTAGTCCTAATACTGTTAATAATGTTTCGAGACATTCCTTTACTCGTGGTTTTGCCCTTTTGAGGTCAGCTACCTTACTGTATTTTCCATAATTGGCCTATAGAGGGCTGTAGAACAAAAGCTTTCAGGGACATACCTTTAGTTGGTGTTCCTATCCAGTTGAGATATCGTGTGAGCTTCGTGGAGATGTAGGTCTTTCCTCGAGCTGGTAAACCCACCATTATCACCATCGTGGGGGAATTTGTAAACTGGGGTATGGATGCTGGAAGACAAACAGAACCTCAAATCTTATCCCCAGGTTCACATGATATTCTGGTATCAACTCAGAGCTGTAGAATTGGAATGAGCATCTCGCCCACCATTAGAACAAGGAAAACAAAAACTGGAAAATTGCAAATTGTCCTCTATTGAATTCATGAGCAAACTGAGATTGCAATGCTAAAAGCTAACCCAAAATCTGTAGACATAGGCATCTACAGGGAACAACAGGGCCCAGGTACTTGCTTATCTTTTGCAGATACTACTGAATAATATGTAGTCATAAGAAGATAACAGCTAAAATTTGTTAATGAATTGCTAAAAGTTGGTTGTGTGTTAGTGTGAGAATGTGAAACCCCTGGGGGCCGTAGACATAGGTGGTTTTGAATCCTCTTGCAGACTTTCCCCCTAAGAAGTCCACCAGGTGCTGGCAGGGAAGAATAAGAATCCGGAGAAAGATATTCTATAGTTCTGGTTTGGGGGAGGGAAACAGAACAGCATCCATTGCTGAAACTGTGCCCAAAGCATTCTGCCTTTATACACTGCAGAGCAAAGGCCTTAACCTTCACAGGGAAAGGTAATAAAACTGTAGTCTGAGCACACTGGTGGAAATTCACTGCAGCTAGCAGAGAGGAATACCCAACACCACTAAAACTCTGCCCAGACCAATCTACTCTATCTCCCCTAGGGAAAACAAGCCTTGCTCTGCAGAAGGAATGGCAATAGGAACTGAGGGCACAGGTGGAAACTCACCACCACAGGTGAAGGAGAAAATTTGAAAAAATGCTATAACCCAGGAGGGATAGGAATATGTGCTAGGCTCACAGTTATATTTAGAGGAGGGGCAGGAACATTTGGGAAAGTCACACCTCTATGACTCAGGATAAGCCTGCCTAAGACTGAGACTTAATCAAAATAACATAGTATGTCCCTAGTCCCCTATTCTCCACTACAAGGCTAAAATAAATCAAGTAAAATAATAGCAGACTTTATTTTTAAAGAATGCAAGAGGTAAGTTACCTCCAGAGAGCAGCACAAAGGGAAGAATCAAGGAAAGAAAAAAACATAGTCTGAAGAGACAAAAAAATCATCAGGACAAGACTCAGTTATGACACATTTTGGAATTTCCAACAGACAACTTAAAATAGCTGTGATTAATATGATTAAGTACTTTTCTATATTGAAAAAGGTAGACAACATGCAAGATAAGATAGCAGCAAGGGATAAAATGTATAAGAAAGAATCATATGTAAATACAAGAGAAAAAACACATTAACAGATCTGAAGAATGCCTTCAGTGTGCTTATTAGTGAACTAGACACAGCTGAGGAATAAGCGAAATTGAAGCTAGAACAATAGAAATTACACAAACTGAAATGCAGAGAAAAAATAAAGAGTAAAAAAAGAAAACAGAACAAAACATCCAAGAGCTTTGGGACACTATCAAATTAGAATACTAGAAGGAGAAGAGAGAGAGAATGGAGAAAAAATATTTGAATAAATAATTGCTGAAATTTTTCATAATTAGCAATTGATATAAACCCCAGATCCAAGTATCTCAGAGAACACAAAGCAGGGTAAATAAAATTTGTAAAAGAGCCACATCACACCCAGACATATCAAATTCAAACTGCAGAAAAACAGGCAAAATAAAATATTGAAGGCAGTCAGGGAAAAAGGGTGGACGGAACAGCTTACATACAGAAGAACAAGAATAATTACACAAGACTTCGTACCAGAGTCACATAAGCCAAAAATAGTGGAATGAAACCTTTAACATACTGAAAGTAAAAACCCTGCCAATCCAAATCTAAATTCAGCAAAAATGTCCTTCAAAAATAAAGGCGGAGGAAGGCGGAAGATGGCGGAAGAGTAAGACGCGGAGATCACCTTCCTCCCCACACATACACCAGAAATACATCTACACGTGGAACAACTCCTACAGAACACCTACTGAAGGCTGGCAGAAGACCTCAGACCTCCCAAAAGGCAAGAAACTCCCCATGTACCTGGGTAGGGCAAAAGAAAAAAACAGAGACAAAAGAATAGGGACGGCACCTGCACCAGTGGGAGGGAGCTGTGAAGGAGGAAAAGTTTCCACACTCTAGGAAGCCCCTTCGCGGGCGGAGACTGCGGGAGGCGGAGGGGGGAGCTTCGAAGCTGCGGAGGAGTGCACAGCAACGGGTGCGGAGGGCAAAGCGGGGAGATTCCCGCACAGAGAATCGGTGCCGACCGGCACTCACCAGCTCGAGAGGCTTGTCTGCTCACCCGCCGGGGCGGGCGGGGCTGCGAGCTGAGGCCGGAGCGCAGGAAGAGGACTGGGGTTGGCGGCTTGAACACAGCCTGAAGGGGTTAGTGCACCACAGCTAGCCGGGAGGGATTCCGGGGAAAACCCTGCACCTGCAGAAGAGGCAGGAGACTTTTCCTTCCCTCTTTGTTTCCTGGGGCGTGAGGAGAGGGGTTTAAGAACGCTGCTTAAAGGAACTCCAGAGACGGGCGCGAGCCGCGGCTAAAAGCGCGAACCCCAGAGACGGGCGCGAGCCGCGGCTGAAAGCGCGGAATCCAGAGACGGGCGCGAGCCGCGGCTGAAAGCGCGGAATCCAGAGGCGGGCGCAAGCCGCGGCTGAAAGCGCGGACCCCAGAGGCGGGCGGGAGAAGTTAGGGCTGCTGCTGCCGCCACCGAGGGGCCTGTGTGCGAGCACGGGTCACTCTCCACACCCCTCTTCCGCGGAGCCTGTGCAGCCCGCCACTGCCGGGTTCCCAGGATCCAGGGACAACTTCCCCGGGAGAGCGCACAGCGCGCCTCAGGCTGGTGCAAAGTCACGCCGGCCTTTGCCACCGCAGGCCCGCCCCGCACTCTGTGCCCCTCCGTCCCCGCCGGCCTGAGTGCGCCAGAGCCCCCAATCAGCGGCTCTTTTAACCCCATCCTGTCTGAGCAAAAGACAGACGCCCTCCAGCGATCTACACGCAGAGGCAGGGCCAAATCCAAAGCTTAGCCCTGGGAGCTGTGAGAACAAAGAAGAGAAAGGGAAATCTCTCCCAGCAGCCTCAGAAGCAGCGGATTAAAGCTCCACAATCAACTTGATGTACCCTGCATCTGTGGAATACCTGAATAGACAACCAATCATCCCAAATTAAGGAAGTGGACTTTAGGAGCAAGATCTATGATTTTTTTCCCCTTTCCTCTTTTTGTGAATGTGTATGTGTATGCTTCTGTGTGAGATCTTGTCTGTATAGTCTTGCTTCCACCATTTGTCCTAGGGTTCTATCCGTCCATGTTTTTTTTTTAAATTTTTTTTTCTTAATAATTAATTTTAAAAACCTTATTATACTTTACCTTCGTTCTTTCTTTCTTTCTTTCTGTCCTTCCTTCCCTCCTTTAGACAACGAATCATCCCAAATTGAGGAGGTGGTCTCTGACAGCAAGATTTAGGATTTTTCCCCATTTACCTCTTTTAGTGAGGGTGTATGTGTATGCTTCTGTGTAAGATTTTGTCGGTATAGCTTTGCTTCCAACATTTGTCCTAAGGTTCTTTCCGTCCCTTTTTTTTTTTCTTCTAAATAAGAATTTTTTAATTCAATAACTTTATTATACTTTATTTTATTTTTACTGTATCTTCTTTCTTTCTGTCTTTTTTCCTTCTTTCCCTCCTTCCTTCCTTCCTCCCTCCCTCCCTCCTTTCTTTCCTTCTTGCCTTCTTTCCTTCTTTGCTTCTTTCTTTCTTTCTTCCTTCCTTCCGACCCTCCTTTCCTTCTTTCTTTCCTCATACTTCTACTAATTCCCTCTACTTTTTTTCCCTTTTATCCTGAGCCTGTGGATGAAAAGCTTTTGGTGCTCCAGCCAGGAGGCAGGGCTCTGCCTCTGAGGTAGGACAGCCAACTTCAGGACACTGATCAACAAGAGACCTCCCAGCTCCACATAATATCAAACGGCGAAAATCTCCCAGAGACCTCGATCTTAACACCAGCACCCAGCTTCACTCAACGACCAGCAAGCCACAGTGCTGGAAAACCTATGCCAAACAACTAGCAAAACAGGAACACAACCCCACCCACTAGCAGAGAGGCTGCCTGAAATCATAATAAGGCCACAGACACCCCCAAACACACCACCAGACGTGAACCTGCCCACTAGAGAGACAAGATCCAGCCTCATCCACCACAACACAGGCACTAGCCCCCTCCACCAGGAAGCCTACACAACCCACTGAACCAACCTTAGCCACTGGAGACAGACATCAAAAACAGGAGGAACTACAAACCTGCAGCCTGCAAAAGGAGACCCCAAACACAGTAAGATAAGCAAAATGAGAAGACAGAAAAACACACAGCAGATAAAGGAGCAAGATAAAAATGCACCAGACCTAACAAATGAAGAGGAAATAGGCAGTCTACCTGAAAGAGAATTCAGAATAATGATAGTAAGTTTGATCCGAAATCTTGGAGATAGAATGGACAATAGATTGGACAAAATGCAAGAATCAGTTAACAAGGACCTAGAAGAACTAAAGATGAAACAAGCAACGATGAACAACACAATAAATGAAATTAAAAGTACTCTAGATGGGATCAATAGCAGAATAACTGAGGCAGAAGAACGGATAAGTGACCTGGAAGATAAAATAGTGGAAATAACTACTGCAGAGCAGAATAAAGAAAAAAGAATGAAAAGAACTGAGGACAGTCTCAGAGACCTCTGGGACAACATTAAACGCACCAACATTCGAATTATAGGGGTTCCAGAAGAAGAAGAGAAAAAGAAAGGGACTGAGAAAATATTTGAAGAGATTATAGTTGAAAACTTCCCTAATATGGGAAAAGAAATCATTAATCAAGTCCAGGAAGCACAGAGAGTCCCATACAGGATAAATCCAAGGAGAAATACGCCAAGACACATATTAATCAAACTGTCAAAAATTAAATACAAAGAAAACATATTAAAAGCAGCAAGGGAAAAACAACAAATAACACACAAGGGAATCCCCATAAGGTTAACAGCTGATC